CGATCCCGGAGGGTGCCTGGGACCCTCAAGCCAGCACCTGCTGCCTCCCAGCAGGATGCTGACATCCAAGGGGAGGAGTGGGGACTCAAACCCAGGCACTGGGCCCCCAGAGAGGGACATAAATACACAAATGGTGTCAGAGAACCCCCCGATACTCCCCAGGAGGGCTCCGAGAAGTTCCTCTGCAGTGACACTACCCTGTCACCCCGGAGAAGCTAGCATGGTGTTCACCGTAAGCAAGGGATGAGAGTGGAGGCTTTCTAGTGTCACAGGGCTGGTGGGATCCATCAGAAGCAGGTGGACACCAGTCCCATGAGCAACAAGGCAGTCGGTAGTGACCTTGGAGCTGCTGTTAAGCCATAGCACTCTCTTGCGGGGAGGGGGCCGGGGAATGATTTTGAAAGGAAGCTGCCCGACGTATTTAACAAGGAGAAAAAAATATCAAGAATTCACAAGCACACACGCTGATGTCAGCCAATGCAAATGATTCACGATGCATTGTCCTGCCCCAAGCTTGGGGCCTCTTCTCAGACTTAACACCCACTGGACTCAGAGGAGGTTGGACGGAGGGAGCCCCTAGAGGAAGGGCCTGGTAATGCCACCCCAAGAACACGAGATGGTATTCCTGCTATCCTTCTCCATTGCAACTTGGGGTACCTGTGTCTGAAGGGGTTCTCTCGGGCCTTCCGAGGCTTGTTGGAGAGTTTGAGCAGACCTTGTTTGGTCCCAGGCACCTGTACACTACCTCTCTCCCCTAACACTTGTAGGAGGCAAGAGGATAAGGCAGCCTTAGTTCAAGCCCTCCTCGTCACAGTGCATCCGAAGAGCCACCGTGCCTACCCTGTGGTTGTTTATCTGGTCCTGTGTGCAAGCACAGGTGACCTGACCAGCAGCCAGCAGAACCTTCACCCTGAGGAGGAGCCACTGGGAAGCAAATGGAGGTTCTAGAACTGTCCAGTCCTCCTGGAATCACAGATCACAGTGCAACACCTTCCCCATTGCATCTCCACTCAAACTGTCCCTGCAATAAACAGCTAGATGGGGGTGGGCATTTGGCCTATCATTAAGACTCTGGTTGGGGGCCCAGCGTGGTAGCCTAGTGGATAAAGTCTTTGCCTTGTGTGTGCTGGGATCTCATATGGGCACCAGCTTGTATCCCAGCTGCTTCACTTCCCTTCCAGCTCCATGCTTGTGGCCTGGGAAAGCAATAAAGAATGGCCCAAAGCCTTGGGGTCCTGCACCTGTATGGGAGACCCAGAAGAAGTTCCTGTCTCCTGGCTTTGGATTGGCTCAGCTCTGGCCTTCACAGCTATTTGTGGATGGAAGATCAGAGAATGGAAGATCTGTCATTCTATAAACTGTCTTTCAAATAAAAATCTATAAACCTTTAAAAACCAGAGAGAAGTGTGCTTTCATTTCACACATGCAGGGGTGTAGTGGTCTTGGTGTGGTCTTGGTGCAAGAAATGTATGAAGTCACAGCTAACTCCCCAAAAGGAATCGCAAGGCAGCAAGGGGCACACCTTCTCAGGGCCTTCCCCACGTACATCACAAGGGAGTGAGACAGCAGGACAAAGCAGGGCACTCCCTGGCCACAGATTCACACGAGGATGATTTACCCACAGTGATTTATTTGGTCTGGATTACTTCCGTGGCAAACAAGCATTAGGAAAAAAATACTGAGCATGACACAGTACCGACATCATCAGGTAATTCAAGTTTCCCTACCCTAGAGACAGCACAAGATTTGCATTACTGCTACACAGTAAGTAGAGCTCCTTGAGGTCCCAGGTACCAGGCCACTTGATCTACAAAGATGCTGCCTGTAGAACTCTCACAGTGATTCCGGCAAGCACCTGCTCAAGGCCCTTCCCTCCCCAGCCCCAGCACCTGACACACCCCTTCACCTCACCTCGGAGACCCAAATGCCCAGGGTCGGCTTCATGTGAGCCCGTTGGCTCCAGGGGGCAAGATCTAATCCCCGTCACACCTGCAAACCCCTTAGAGTGCCTGGGATTCAGCCACACCTCTATTTCAGATCCAGGGTCCTGCTAAGGCACAGCCTGGGAGGCAGCGGAGATGGCATCAGGGTTGCCTACCCGTGTGGGAGATCCTAGCTGGATTCAGGGCTTGAGGCTGGCAGCCTGGCCAGCTGTGGCTGTGGCAGGGAGAAGATGGAGCAGTGAACCACAGGACAGAAGTAGTACATGCGTACTCTGTGCCTTTCAGAGAGAGTGAGCGCGAGGTTGAGGCAAGCAGAGCGAGCAGGGAGGGAACGGTGCCCCTGCACCACGGTGCCCCTTCATGAAGACTGGCTGGGATGAACAGAGCACCATTTCAGATGACTGCAGAACACACTGCCCATACGGGAGACTGCAAGCAAGCACGACCAGCAGGGCAGACAAGGGGGTGGCTGTGGGTGACCTGCCCTCACAGAAGTCACCTCACAGAGAATCTGAGGGCAGCATATTAAGGCCTTTCGTCTCTTCTCTCTCTCTTTTTTAAGACAAAGCAACTCTCATAAAAACTCCAGTGGACTTAGCTTTCCACACAGGGCAGATTGATCTCAAGTGCATCAGAAATACTGTCCTGACTGCATTCTAAGGGGGTGCAGTGTACACTGATTTCAGGTCAATAAACAGACACAAATCCCCAAACAAGAACCGAGCTACTGTGTCGAGTAACCTTGACACGACTATAAAGCTGTTGTGGGTCTCCAATATATGCAGAAGGCTCAGGGAAACAATTATAGGAGGTTATTAGGAACCAAAATCGTGGTGTAAAACAGAATCAAACAGAAAATTAAAGAAAGTAAAAATACTGGACCTGACTCAGTGGTCTAAGTGATTAAATCTCCTTGCATGAGCTGGGACCACGTATGGGCGCCGGGTCATGTCTCATCTGCCCCACTTCCCATCCAGCTCCCTGCTTGTGGCCTGGGAAAGCAGTCGAGGATGGCTCAAAGCTTTGCAACCCTGCATCCACATGGGAGACCCAGAAGAAGCTTCTGGCTTCTGATCCGTTCAGCCCCAGCCACTACGGCCGCTTGGGGAATGAATCAGCAGATAGAAGATATTCCTCTCTATCTCTCCTCTTTGGTGTATGTCTGACTTTCCAATTAAAATAAATTAATCTTTAAAAAAAAAGATGGGATGTGCTAAACTTGACTCTAGCTCTCACGTCTACAGAACACCAGCCCCAACGGCTCACAATATGAGAGGTGGCAAAACACACTAAACAAAACTGGAAATTTAAAACTTGGGAAATCCTAAAAGTATCCAGACTGCTTGAACAAATACATGACATTAGGAAAAAAAAAAAAAGAAGAAGAGTTGTCAAAAAGAAACAAGAAATATCACATACAACATATGCACTTAAAAAAATATGCGCTTTGCTTTTATAATCCAGCGTCAACAAAAGAAATAAAAAAGACTTCTGAGATTACTGAGATGCGCTGGAAAAACTGGGTGCCCACCTTCAGAAGAAGGAAGTTGACCCCTTTTCTTACACCATATGCCAGAAGTAGCACAAAGTTACAAAGTAACTCAAAGTGGACTAAAGACCAACACAAAACCCAAGGAAACATACAGGACCTTGTATGACAATGAATTTTGCAAGAATTTCTTAGAACACCAGAAGCAAAGATGACAAAAGCAAAAATAGACAAGTGGGGCGTGTCACACTTAAGATCTTTTATGCATCAAAGTACATGAGCAACAGAATAAAAAGCAATCTACAGAATTGCTTTAAAGTTCATAAATCAGATATAACGAATAAGAGGCTAGTGTTCAAAATATATAAAGAATCTCTACCCCTCAATGGAAAAATCAAATAATCTGGTTTTAAAGCGTGCAAGGAACTTAAGAAGGCATTTCTACAGAGATGGTATATTTAGATAGCCAATAAATACATGAAAAAAATGCTCAACCAAAGGAGACATACAAGAAATGCCAATCAAAACCATACTCATGAAGACAGCCACAATTAAAAAAAATACAAGTGTGGGCAAGGGTGTGGAGACACTGGAACACTTCTATCCTGCTGCTGGGACCGGGCCCTGGTGTAGCTGCTCAGGGAAACGGGACGGGAGCGGTTCTGCAAACAGCTAAAACCGCAACTACCACTGGACCCAGCCCACTGACTTCTGAGCGTCTCCAAAGGAACTGAAAAGCTCTGGATGGCAGATGCACATCCCCACCTTCCAACAGTGCTATTCACAGCAGCCAAGAGATGGAAGCAGCCCAGAAGCCCAGGAGTGAATGGCTCAACAAATGGTGACGGATCCAGGTACGCAAAACCAAGTCCAGCCTTAACCAGCAGAGAAACGCACTCACGCCCTGCTGGTGCACGAACCATAAGGACAGGAGGCTCGGTGAGACAAGCCAGTCACCTGAAGCAAAAGCTGTCTGATCCCAGTCCAAGGGGGTGTCCCAAGTGGTCGGACTCATAGAAACAGAGAATCTACAGGTGTTTGCCAGGAACTGAGAGGGGGAGAAGGGGAGCTATTGGCTGGGTACAGCTTCAGATGTGCAAGATGAAAGCTTTGGATTTCACAGCAGTGATATAGACAGACTGAACGGTGTTGCAATTCACATTTGAAAACATTAACATGCCAAACATGTGTTTTTCCTTTTTAAGCTGCAACAGACAGGCACAATTGAGATAATCAGGGGCAAAAATAAGACCTAAGCACACAGTGAATTGCATTTGAATCCAAAAAGAAAAAAAAAAGACAAAAGCATGAGGCAGAAACAAGTGAGACAGACTGGCAGAATAATCCCAGTTGCTGAGGCTGTGCGATGGGCATGTCAGGAATACTGCTCTCCCTGCACAGTGAACGCTTGCAAGTTTCTGTTCACCCAGAGCCTAAGACAAACTAAACAAAATGCAACCGAGTGGGTGGACAGGCGGATGAGCTGGAGGACAGCAGAGAGAATCTCTTGAGCTTTGACAAGAATAATTATCAAACCACCCAAACTCTGGCTGGTTTCTTGTAACCTGTGGCGTGTATAAGACTACAGAGCAGAAACGAAATGGAAAAGGATGGAGTTTTGACCAAATTCTCCAGTCATACACAAATAAAACAAGGAGGTTCGATGAGCTGAGAACACCAAACAGAACAAAGGGCCCCATGTCTGGACAGCAGTGGAGAGCTGTCTGCTGGGAAAATGTCCATCAAGGCAGGTTGTACGAGCAGGATTCCCTCCCACTGCCAAAGGACAAGCAGCCCAGCAACGAATTCAAGCTGGACAAAGGGACCGTGAGAGCCCAAGACAATGGCGTCAAGAGGAAGGGACCAAGATGCAAGCCACAAAAAGGGCTCGAGGAGAGCCAACTGCATCCACCTCGGGGTACTGAGGAAGACTCAGACTCAAGAAACTGCTGCAGAAAGGTGGAAGTGAAACGGCACCAACTCACTGAAGAGGAACTAACCACCGCCCGAAACAACAGGCCGGGTGATGCAGAAGTGACAAAGCTTGGAAGGGCAGCCTCCCTAGCGGGCGGCTGCAGGTAGAGCAGGGCCTGGAGAAAGGAGCCCAAGGCCGCCCACCGGGGTGGGGCTCTTCAGCCCCCTGCCCCTTCAATCCTGCAAAATGTGTTAAGAGAAAGGCTCTCAACCCCATTCCTCGCCCTGAAATTCTACAGGAGGGGGAACAATGAGAAAGCTCCCAAGATCTGAACTCAAAGACACTCCCCAGATACCGCACTGCACACACCAGGCTGCCTGGAACAAGAGGTGGTGGTCCACAGGTTCAGAAGGCCAATGTCAGCTCTTCCAGGCCTGGGTTACCGACACAGGCAGAGCGAGGCCACTCTCAGGAGCAGCTGCTGGCGTGCTAATGTGGCTGCCCCTGCAGCAGGAACGAGGGTTGCCCACAAGGTCCTTTCACGAGCCCCAGTGTGACATAAGCAAGGCTTCCTGTGGGCCTCAGCACCACGTCTTAGGAAGCTGCAATACTGATTCCCACCTTAAGGCTAATGGCGTATCACGGGCAAGGGCTGGGATAACAAGGCTCAGCTCCCTTCACACTAGGCTCCTTGAGGTCAGCAGGTGGCCAAGCACCAACGGGAAGGACAACCCCACCTTGCACAGCTGGCCCTGCGCAGGAAGCTTGCAAAGTTCCACCTTGGGCACAGATCACTGCCAGTCTCCACGGCTGGACAGTCAACCTCTGCTTCCAACAGAAAGCCAGACCTCAACCTGAGAAGGGGTGGGAGACGGGTGCTCCAGTTTCCTGACCCTTCTTCAAACATGCCGGATGTCCTGCACTCCAGGTTCTGCTCTGAGCACCTGTGTGCAAACAGAATCAGCCTCAACTGCATGTGAATCCCTGGCTCACCTGTAATCCATCCAGTTACTTAGTCAACAGGCTGTGGGAAGACCTCACGGGGAGCAGACAGACTGACCTCTGGCTCCCAAACCTCCTACGTCCCTCCTCAGATCACCTGTGCCCTTCCTCGCCTGGCCTCAGCTTCCTCACCAAAAAGCAGTGAAAAGCAGCTAATTATCCAACTCAAGCAGTGTTGCACAAAAAGGCAGCGGGGTGGCCAAAGCTCTCTGGGGCCCCCCCGAAGCCCCCTAGGCTGTATCTTCACTGGCATCCCATTCCGAGAGGCAAAGACCTGATCAAAGGGTTGCAGCAGCCTGAACCTGCTAGGCCACCTCACCCCCAATCGCTGAGTCAGGTGTATGTCCGCATGGCTGGCTGCAGAGCTGGCTGGGAGGGGCTGGAGGGATCAGACAGATGAACCACTGGGAAGAAGGGTAGGTAGACAGCCAGGGCTGGGGTGCCAAGGCAGGACCAGCTCAGGGAGTCTGCCGTAAGATGAACTCTGTGATCTCTGCTCGGCTGCCCAACCTCATGGGTATCCCATAGTGACCTGTTCCCGGGCTGACATAGACAAAGGTATCTGGGGTCACTTGGTACAGACCTACAAAGAACGGGTTAAGGAGATAGGCCAGCACATTCAAGGGGAAGATCTGCCCAGCGTGTGTGTGCCCAGACAGGATCAGGTTAATATCTGGCCGCTCCTGGAGGGCCCTCTTGGCTGCCAGGGGCTGGTGAGCCAGTAAGATAGTGGTGTGGTCCGGGCTGCAGCCTTCCAGGGCCTTGTGCAGATCCATGCCGTGGTCGGAATAGTGCAGGATATCTGCTTCGATATCATCCACGCCAGCCAGGCAAATCCAGTCTTGTCCTGCTCCACGCTCCCCAGCAGGGTAGGTTCCGATGGCTGAGATCTTCACATGTTCATTATGCAGGGGCCTTACGTGCAGGGCTCCCAGCACAGCAAACCAGTTGCTGACGTCCAGTGTGTAGTAATCGTGGTTGCCCGTGACGAAGTAGGTGCCGAGGCGGGAACGGAGCTGGCCCAGGGGAGCCACTGCCGACCGCAGGGACGAGGCTTCCGAGTCGGACAGGTCACCCACGATCACCGTGACGTCGGGCTGCAGTGTGTTCACCATGCGCACAAACATCTCCATCTTGGTCCTGCCCACTGTGGGGCCCAGGTGGATGTCCGAAAGAAGCACCACCTTGAGATTGTTCATGGAGGCAGGCAGCGAAGGCATGGGCACCTCCACGGTTCTCACAGCCGGCGGCTGGGCAGCGTTTAGAAGCCCGACTACGCTGAGCACAGCAGTGAACGTCACGGTCAGCACGGGCCTGAGTGCCAGCCTCCTCATCTTGTCTGGGCTGCTCTGGACCCGGCCGCAGTGCCAGGCCAGGAGCTGGTAGGCCTGCTCCACGCCGCTGAAGATGACAAGGAAGAACAGCATGAAGACGTACGCGCCCAGGCAGGAGTAGGCAGCCAGGGACAAAGGATGTGGCTCCTCAGCCACCAGGAACAACATGGTGAAGAAGCTGGAATGAGTCAGGCCCAGGAATGCCATGACAGTCAGCTTCCAAAGCTGGAAACAGGTGGAGCCGGCGCCCGGGAATGAGCCGAGACTGCTCACTAAGCTACGCCAGATGTACAGAGAGCCAACGAGCAGCAATGAGTTAGCAAACAGGACAAGCTGCAGGCGGAAGAGCATCCGCCAGGCCTTGAGCTCCAGGTTGTGTGCCAGAAAGGCGCGGGAGACGACCATGGATAGGAAGACAATGACAGCAGCCAAGCCCACCTTGGTGCCCAGCGACACCTGCCTGAAGATCATCATTGTCCCGCTAGGTGGGCTTAGAAAGGACAGTGGCCGTGGACAGGCTTCCGGGTCAGCTCCGCCTGCAACCAGGAACCGTCGTCAGCTTTGTGGGATGGTCGGCAGAGTTTCTGTTCCCCATTCAAAAACCGGGAAGCCACCTGCACCGCCCCACCCACACGGCAGTCAATAGCTACACTTTGTTAAGATACAACCCCACAGGGATATGGTGTGATAGGCAGCTGTCATTTCTTTCCTTACAGCTTTTCTGTCTGCTTTAAGTCTTTCCAGAAGAACCATGAACTTCTCTTAGGAGAAAAAGTTAGCTAAACCAGCAGTTCTCAAAGACTGCGCCACAGAGGCCCTTAAAGAGGGGCCACCTCCTCAAACTTATTATTATGATCATAATAAGCCCTCGATGCCTTTTCATCCTCACCCTCCCATGAACGTAAAATGGAATGTTCCAGAGGTTATGGGACATGTGATATGACAACAGACTGGAAGCAAAGTCCCTTTGAAAGCCCAACCATCTCCCACAAGGACAGACACGAAAGAGGTTTGCAACAAAGGAAAAAATGCCCAACACTTCACCCTAAAATTGCAGAAGTACTGTTATTAATTTTTTTTTACAAAAAGCTAGTATTCACACATATTGTTTCCTCCACCACCACTCTTTATTTTTTAAATTTGCTCCTGATTTCTAGGGCAAACAACTGCTGTGCTAAGTAAGTGGAAACAACAAAATCAAGGCACGCGGGCCCTCACAGACACCTGACCCAGGAGCTCCAGGGTGATGCCACTCTATCTGGGTGGGCCTCAGGTACAGCAAGCCGCTGCACACCACTAGGTATGCCCAACACCCAGAGAGCTGCCCAGCCCACCTGCTCTTCCTCCTCCTCTACACCCTCTGTCTCTACCAGGCATTCGCCCCGTAAGACACTGGCTCAGATCTGTCCCTCTCAACTGTTCCCCAGTTCCACCTTCCCCAGTGATTCTGGCAGGTGGCTCTGCCTTGGCCTCCTCCATGGCTCCTGGTCAAGTAAACTTTACCCTAAAAACAAAACAAAAGCTGGGTGGCAAAGCAGCAGTAGATATGCAAGCTGACATGACTTTTCTACTTTTCAAGAAGCTGTTGTTCTCAATTCATCTTGAGTTTTGGACAGGCCCTGAGCGTGTGCCCCAGGAGAAAGCCCCCCCCCCTTTTTTTTTAACCCAAGGGTGCAATTCAGAGGTCCCGTGTGGGCTCAAATTCCACCTCTGGGCTCACCTGAACATATGGGAGTGGTGGGAGGGGATGCCAAAGGCGGCTTGCTCAAGACTGGTCACAGGGGCACAGCGAAGCCTGACCACTACCACCAGCTTCCTCTCCTTCCCCAAGCGAGACACCAAGCTCCCCGGCAGGGGACTCCACGAGCGTGGCGACGCGGACCAACACCAGCAACCTCCTGCAACCCGGCCTCTGCCACCCCTATAAAGGAAAAGCACCTCGCCCAGGCAAGAAGAAGCTGACGCCGGAGAGCAGGTGGAGGGGAGTTTGCACGCGCGCGCGGAGAGATGGAGGCGGGATTCGCTAACAGAGCTCCCTTCCAAAACAATCAGGCGACGTTCCCGCCGCGGGGGCCTCTCCAACCCCATTTCTTGTTCTTTTTTTCAGGAGCTCTGCGTGGACAGCGAACTGGACAGGAACAGGACACACACAACCCCACTCCCATCCACTCATAAGAAGTCGCACGAGTCCTTGCCCGAAAACCCAGCCAGGACAAATTCAGGCGCACGTCTTCCGCCTCACACAGCGACGCCCAAAGGGGGCGGCCTGAGCGAGAAGCACCGGCGCCAGAGCGTCCAGGAAGGACGCACCTCGCGCCCCGCACCGACAGGAGGGCCAGCCCGGTGACGTCCGACCCAGAGGGTCTCGGGCTGCCCACCCGCGGGACAGCGGCCCCCGCCGCCAGACCCCGCGTGGGCCTGTCCCCCAGCAGGCCGTGCCCCAGGCCGCTCAGCCCGTGCACGGAACCTCCCCCACGGACTTACGCCCAGGGCTTGCGGGGAGCGCAGCAGCAGCAGCGGCGCCAGCAGCAGGCAGAGGATGCGCACCGGGACCCCCAGCATGACCGCCCTCCGGTCTCCCGGGTGCGCACTGGGCGCTCTGGCCGGCTGCGCCACCGCACTGGACTGGAGAACCCGGTGCCCAGGCCCGCCCCTCTCTCGCCGGCTCCGCCTCTGGTTCCGCCCCGGGACACCGCGGGGCCCTTAGGGGCCGCGTGACTTGAGGCTAGGCTTGTGTGGCTGTGGCTGGGAGGAGCAGCGGTTTGAGGACGCGCCCCCCGAAGGCTGGCCTCCGGCTGAAGCTCAGCTTGCTCCTCCGACATCCCGAAGCTAAACCCAGGGGCACCCTAAGCGTGCGTGGGCGCAGCCGCGCTGCCGCTTCCGAAAACCTCCAACCTGGAGTTGCGGCGTGTTCCCGAATCCCAGCGTTATCAGCATCACCTGCTAAGAGTTGGAAACGCAGCTTTTGTTCTCTCTTCCCCGCCCGAGTAACGTCAGAGCTGTGGTTACAAGATCTGCTGGAGCGCCGCTGCTTAGGGGTTACTCCCGAGTTACGTACGTGACTCAGCTCTGGCGAAATCTCTCCAGTGCCAGCCCCGGGGTCTGCGGAAGGTTTCTTTTCTTGCTGGGTGGTGAGTGAGAGGCCAGCAACGCTTCTCACCTGTTACTTCTACAGCTGCGAAAATGAAAGCCCTCCGGCAGAGCGGACTTGTCAGAGCCAGAGTTCATAATGCTTAACAATAGCCATCTCCATAACCTGAAATCTCTATAAATATCTCATCTTTCTCTCATATCCCACATTTTAACTTGAATCAAAACATGGTTTCAGGAGGCCAGCATGTGATTTAACAGGCTAATCTTATGTCTGCGGTGCCGGATAGCCTATGTGGATGCAGGATCCCGGCTGCTCCACTTCCCATCCAGCTCCCTGTTTATGGCCTGTTAAGGTAGTGAAGGGTGGCCCAAAGCAGTGGGACCCTGCACCCACATTGGTGATCCCTAAAAAGCTCCTGGCTTCTGATTGGCTCAACTCCCGCTGTTGCAGCCACTTGTTGCAGTGGATGGAAGGTGACTCTGCTCTCTCTCTCCTTCTCTTTGTAAATCTACCTTTCAAATGGAAATAAATAAATGGCTAAAGCTTGTCCAGAGAAGGTTCAAGGTTACTTCAAAGGGGTTGAGACGCTGAATAAAGTACCTGAAGGTCATTGTCAACTCTGGGTCCTGACTCCAGCTTCCTGTTAATGCAGACACTAGCAGGCAGTGGGTAATAGCTCATGTGGTTGGCGCCCTGGCACCCATTTGAGGGACCTGAATAGAGTTCTTGGCTCGTTACTTTGACCTGACATAGCTCTAGTTGTTGTGGGCTCCTGTGAAGTGAACCAATTGTCTGTCTGGCCTTAATCTGTTCCTCAAATTGTTGAAAAGAAGTAAAAGTTTCTTCGAAAGTGAAAGAAATTTGCTTTCATCCGTGCAACATGTTTCGAGATGTATGTGTGATGTTTGCAGAATACCCGTTTCCAGTAAACGTTTTGAAGAAGCCCCCTCAGAGGCGCTGGCTTGCTTTTGAGAGTTTTGGACTTGACCTTGTGCTGTAGTGGACCTAGCCAGACGCCTAAGGGCCACTGTGCTGAGTACTTCACCACAACCCAAGTTTGCAAATGTTGCTGTCTACATTTCACAGATGAGAGAATAGACCCAGACTACTTAACTGGCTTGCCAGCACAGCCCTGGAGCTAGAAGTGGTGTGTCCCAGGGGCGTGTGCTCAGGTTTAAGAACCCGAGTAACTTCCCCAAGGCCACACTTCTGCCTGCACTGTACCATAAGTTCCCTTCGCACTGCACAGGGGGAATGTGCAGGATGCCAGGTCCCACCAGGGTCTGCATGGGTGGGTGGCTGGGTGGGTGAAAAGCTCAAAAGAATACTGTCATTCAGGAGAGGAAAAGGCCCCCCCACACACACACCCCTAAACGTGAAACATGCTCTGAGATCGGCCAGACTACCCAAAGTGGGGTCTGTGGACAGTGCCATTGAGATCAGCATAAAAGGCCAGGTGAGGCATTTAAGAAACCTGTAGCAATTTGAGGGGCAGCCATCTGGGGAGTGAATAAACAAGTGGAAGATTCTCTTTCTCAGTATGTGTTGTGTGTCCTCTCTGTAACTCTTTCAAAAATCAATACTTTTTTTTCAAAGTTTTTTTTTTTTTTTGAATGGCAGATTTCACAGAGAGACTAGGAAAGATAGAGAGATCTTCCACCTGCTGGTTCACTCTCCAAATGGCCGCAATGACCAGCTAGGACCTTCCTCCCGGTCTCCCATGTGGGCGCAGGGTCCCAGAGCTTTGGGCCATGCTTTACTGCTTTCCAAGGCCGTGAGCTGGGTGGGAGGTGAAGCAGCCAAAATACAAACATTCATATGGGTTGCTGGCACTGCAAGGCAGAGGATTATCCTGGTGCTGTGCCATAGCAGGTAAAGTTGCCTCCTGTGGTTCTGGCACCCCATATGGGCACTGATTTGAATTCTGGCTATTCCACTTTTCATTCAGCTCCCCACTAGGGGCCTGGGAAAGCAATGGAAGCTGGCCCAAGAGCCTGGGACCCTGAACCTGTGTGAGAGACCCAGAAGAAGCTCCTGGCTCCTGGCTTTAGATGGGCCAGCTCCAGCTGTTGCAGTCATTTGTGGAGTGAAACAATGGATCAAAAAGCTTTCTTTCTCTCTCTCTCTGCCTTGCAAATGAATAAATAAATATTTTTTAAAGACAAAGAAACATGTAGCAATTTGAGAAGTTTTTTGAAATCTAAGAATGAAAACAAATGATGTACATTTTGTATGTCTTTTTATTTTGTTTCCTGATAACTTGTAGCCCTGGAAAGATGGCTAGGAACATGAATAAGAATAAAACTGCTCCTTCAGCAAAAAGACAATTGTAAAAGCATTTGTAGGACAATCAGTAGGAGCTGAATGTAGACTATGAACTGTTGTGCCG